GGCCAGGCAGTCAGTCTGCCAGTCTAGCCTCACTGGGGAGCTCCAGGTCAATGACAGACCTTGTCTCAAAACAAGCTGTGGGAGGGCGGGGGAGATGGCCTAGAGGGTAAAGTGCTCTCGACACATAAGCATTAAGACCTGAGTTCAGATCCCCACCAACCACGTGCAAAGACTGAGTGCAGTGGTATACACCGGTATTCTCAGCACTGGGAGGTGGGGATGAAAGGATCCCTGGAGCTCGCTGGCCAGGTAATATATACTAATCCTAGTGTATACTAATCAGTGCACTCCCATCTCAAAAAAATAAAATAAAATAAGGTTGAGAGTGGTTGAGGAAGGCGCCAACATCAACCTCAGACCTCCATATGCACAGACACACATGCACACAGACACAAAAATAAACTAAGGTAGCAGGACATGGAGATGCATGTTTTTAATCCCAACACTTGGGAGGCACAGGCAAGCAGATCTCTGTGAGTTCGAGGCTAGCCAAGCAGTGCTGCATAGTGAGACCCTATTTCGAAAGCAAACAATAATAGAAACAAACAACAAAAAAAAACCCGAGGTAGACAACACCTGAGGAATGACACCCAAGGTTGTTCTGAGGACCACACATGCACCCACAAGTACATGCACAGACATACACATTTTTTAAATAAATCTACCTGTGAATTATTTCAAACTCAAAAGGCTCTCCCCTCCCCAACATTATTCCTGCTCTGTTTATCAAGATTTCACCTTAGTGCAGGAGAACACTGGCCAACCGAACCTTTGCACAGTTAATACTACACAAAACCACAGCAGTTTTCCAGGTACTGTTCAGTACCAGAAATGGACTGCCAGTCAGAGCTGTTTTCAGAGAATTCATGTCTAAGGATGCACATGTGGCTTAGTGGTAAAGCTGTAAAAGAAAACAATCCCTGCACTGTGGTCACGCCCCCCAAGGTGATGAGAAATACCTAGTACAGTTTCACAGATCTCTATTAGCACTCAATTGAGATTCTCAGGGGCAGTGAAGGGGGATGTTGTTTACAGATTTTTGTCCCCAAGTGGGAAAATCCATACCAGATAGACAAGAAGGCAGAGGAACATCAAGTTCCCTCCCCTGCCTAAGAGAGCATAACTCATCCTCTACAAGGGTCAGTTTCCTTGGCTGGAAAATGAAAACAATCACTGTTATCCACAGGGGGAAAGGTGTATAAAATCCTCACTGCAGGGCCCTGGAAAAGGCTCAGCAGGTAAATGTGCTTGCCACCAAGGCTGCCAACCTGAGTTCAATCCCTGGCCTTCGTATGATGGAAGAACTGACTCCAAGTTGTTCTCTGACTTCCATACGTGCACTATGGCATGCGCACACACATGCACACACACACACACACACACACACACACACATACGCACGCATGAGTGCAAAAATGTAATAAAAAATTTTTGAATTCTCATTGCAGGACATTCTGGTAAAGACCATTCTATTATGTGTTACAACAACAAAATTCACAAGAGATTTTTATTGTGCTTTCCTTCCTTCCTTCCTTCCTTTCCTTCCTTCCTTCCTTCGACTAAACCAAGGGCCTCATCGTGATAGCTAGACAAGCACTCTGCAACCAAGCTATACCCTCAACCCTCTTTTTCACTGTGTTTTAGGACAGGGTCTCACTAAGTTGCCCCCAGGTTGACTTTGAACTCACTCTGTAGCCCAGGCAGGCCTTGAACTTGACATCCTCCTTTCTCAGCTTCCAGAGTAGCTAAGATTTACAGGCTCGCTGGGATTACAGGCATGCTGGGTTTTATTACAGGCACGCATGACCAGAAGTCTTTATATTTCCAAAAATCTTACACATACACTCTCTTTGAGTCACCGAACTGCCCAGCGAATACCATTATTATCAGTTCTCCTGTTTATTTTTATTTTGAAGCTGGGTCTCACATACCCCAGGTTATCTTCTAACTCACTACACAGTTGAGGATGGCCTTGAACTTCTGATCTTCTCACCTCTTATCTCCCCAGGGCTGGCTAGGATTACAACCAGAGCTGGGGATTAAACACAGGGTCTCTGGCATCCCAGGCAAGCACTCTACCAACTGAGCTACATCCATAGTCAGCCCCTCCTTTTGATATTTTTATTCAAAGTGATGCTCAGAAAAGTTACAGGAATCCCTGATAAAGCAACTGGTCAATCTGGGCTCTTTCACAGTTCAGTCCAAGTATGGATAAAGCATGCTTTTCTTTCCGAACATTCCTTGGGGTGGACACACTCTGTTACTCCAGACATCCAGTTTCTCGGTTACGGTGTGTACAGACACTCTCCCAAGAGCCTAGTAAGGCACATTCAGGATGCCACTTACAGATGAACACAGACTAACACATAAAAGAGGGAGCCCAAGGGCTGAGGAGAGATGGCTTAATCAGTAAAGTACTTGCTGAGCAAACAAGAGGAACTGAGTTCTGTCCCTCAGAACCCACGTGAAAAAGCTAGGCAATGAAGCTCACACCTATAATCCCAACACCGGGGAGGCAGACACAGAAGGATCCTTGGGGTTTTGCTGGTCAACTCAACTAGTCCAGCTGAATCGGCAAGCTCCAGGTTCAGTGAGAAACCCTGTCTCAAAAAAATAAAGTGGAAAACAACCAAGTAAGACGCTTAATGTCAACCTCTGACCACTACCCTGCACACAAAGACGTAGGCATGCACAAGTGCACAGACCCGTACAGACCATTTACATACAGGCGTGGTGCTACACGCCTTTAATCAAACTCAGGAGGCAGAGGCAGGCAGATCTCTGGGAGTTCAAGGACAGCTTGGTCTACATGGAGAGTTCCAAGCCAGCCATGACTACAGTAAGACCCTGTTTAAAAAAAGAGGAAAGAAAGAAAGAAAGAAAGAAAGAAAGAAAGAAAGAAAGAAAGAAAGAAAGAAAGAAAGAAAGAAAGAAAGAAGAAAGAAAGAAAGAAAGAAAGAAAGAAAGAAAGAAAGAAAGAAAGGGAGAGAGAAAGACCATTTCCAATTCCACAGCACACCACCACCCTACCAGTATCCCTATAATGTCTATTAAACACTCTCAGAAGTGGATTGATTTGAAATATAGGACCTGATAAATGACAGAGGAACATGCTCCTAATTTTCTGGACAGAGACAATCTTGAATTAAAGAATTGCCAGCACTCCCAAGGATCCTGGTAACCCACCGTACAGGACAGCAACCCACCTTCGTTCCCAATGTCCCCAAAAGCCTCGCCTTGGTTTGTCTCCTTGGGCCTAGCAGAGTATGTACCATGTAATCAACAGCAAGTTCAGTACACTTTTAAATGAGTATTTGTTCAGCACCATAAAAAGAGGGTTAAAATACTTCCTTGCTAAAATACTGCTATGTGAACTCACTGGTTCTAACATAAAGAATGAAAAACGCCACATTTTTCTTACATTCACTTGAAAGCATGCCCATAATAAAGCGATCATTTCTTGCAAATCTCTTGCTTTCAGAGTAGTCTGGCCGACTTCTGACCCCGAGAAGAAGGTAAACTGCCTGAGGTGGATTAGAGCCTCACACCCCAAATCTCACGTCTGTCTCACAGGTGTGCTTGTGATTAAAGGCGCGAGAAGCCTTAGGGGGCCATTTTAATAAGTGGATCAAGTGAACTTCAACTTTCATCCTTGTGCTAATTACCCAGGTAGGTGGTTTTCCGCGAAAATCTGCAGCACATTAGACACGAAATTCCTTTAAAAATAAAAGCACCACCCATCCTCAAGTTTGTTTGTTTTCTCCTGGTGTCTCCTCTAGGAATGACTAGTGGTAAACTGCATAGAGTGGTAAAGAAGCTTATGCTACCCCTAAACTGACACCTGGGGAAAGAAAACAAGGCGCTAGGCTTCACTCCGCTTCCCCTCCCCCTCCCCGAAGTCCTACCTCATCTCTTCCAGCTTAAAGCCAAGACTCTCTCAGAGGAAAACACCCGAAGTCAGGTCAAAGCACACACACCAGTGCAGAGCAGAAGCAAAGAGGCTTGGTAGAAGGGGGGGGGGGAGCGCTAGGCTTTTGCTGCACTACACCGCCAAGTAGGAAAAAACTAGGTGACCCTAAGTTTGCGGAATTTCCAAGGCAGAAGACTCAGAACGCCAGCCCCAGCAAGGAGCAAGCCCCCCCACCGCGCACTGGCCAGGCACCCGAAGCCCAGGCCCCATCCCCGCTAGGGCGGGCCGCCAGCCTCCCGAAGTTCTTAGAAAAGCTCTGGACCACCAATACTCTAAAATGCACACTCCCAAGGAAACACTCTCCGACACCCGTCCAGGCCTTAGAGAAAGTCCTAAAATGGAAGGATTGAAGGTGCAGATTTGGGGACACCCCCCCCCCACGAGCCAAAGAGCAACAGGTCTACACCTTTCCCAATCGGTGCAGAGCGGTCCCTCACCAGACCAGGGGCGCCGCCCTCCACCGGTGTGTCCCCACCAGCCCGGTCCCGTTAGATCAAGCTGGGGAGCGAGTGTGGGGAGGGGGCTCTGGTACTTCCTTGACAGTTTGCATCTCTCAAACTGAGCGTCGGCTGGCCCGCGACCTTCTCGCCCGCCACTGGGCTCTGTGCACCGCCGCTCCTCCACCCGGAGCGCCCGGCCCGAACCCAGAGGATGAATGAGGTTCCCCTCCCCCACCGGGGATCCCGCGCGGCCCCCAAGTCCCAGAGCAGCCCAGGTTAGCCCAGCCAGGCCCCATAGGAACCACAGACAAAGGAACGCGGGGAAGGAATTGCAGCGCTTCCCGAAACTTGCCTGCCCCTCCCCAAAACAAAGGAGCACCCGGGCCTCTCCCGCCCCCCACGCAGCCACTTTGGGGAGCGGCCGCCCGGGGGGTATTGTTAAGCCTGCAGGGAGCGCGTCTATCCCGGACGACGCTAGGGGACCTGCCTCCGCAGCAGCTCCAGGGTCCCGACCTCTGCGATCGGGGTCAACCACCGCACCCCCAGGTCCGACAACTTTGCGCCTCATTCCCTGGGCCCCACGCACTCACCTAGCCTCGAGCCCTGCAACTTGTGGCTACGCTCCGCGCGTCCCTCCCGGCCGGACGGCCGTCACCGAGCGAGGGCCACGCGAAGACAGACGAGGGCCCGGAGCCCCGGAGCAGTCGCGCGCCGCGCCCCCCCCCAGCCGCCCCCCGCGCCACCACCGAGTCCCCGAGAGGCGCGGGCGCTGGAAAGTTTCGGTGGCGAATGGCGGCCGGAGGGCGCTGCAGCGGCAGAGAGGCGGGGGCGCTGGCGGATCGTTTCTCCTAAGCGTCGACACTGGGGGGGCTGGGCAGGGAGCGGTGGCGGCAACGGCGGCGGCGAGAGAGGGCGGGACGGCGGGAGGGACCGGCACGTCCAGTGACCTCTGCCGTGAGCAGCGCCGAGCGCGCGGACTCCGCCGGAAGATGCTCTTGTGCCACCTGGAGGGGGCGCTCTGTAGCCCTCCCCTCCCCCACCGCGTCCCCGCCGGCTCCTCCCCCACGCCCTGGGGGGCCGCGTACCCACGCGGCAGCCCCTCCCCCACGAGGGCCTGGACTCCTGGCCCGCCCTCACCCCCACCGCCCCCAAGTCCCGACCTACCCCAGGGGTTAGGGAAGAGACAGCATCCCAGCTCACCTCCTCACCTCAAAGCTTCACCATGCCCCCTCCACGCCACCCCACGCCTAGGGTGGAGGAGGGAAGCCCCAGTCTCACCCTTAGAGCCCCAACCCAGGCCCTTCCTTCTTCCCCTTGGCCGCCAAAAGGAGGGAGGGGAACCTGGGCCTCCTCCCTCACCCCCTCCCGGCGCGCACACACCCAATCTGCGACCCGGGCATTCCACAGGGCCTCTTAGGGGTTGGGAACACCGGCCACTCGGCAGGTAGGGAGAGGCAAGGGTAAAGCTAGCCCAAAAAGCGTTACCCTCCCCCACCTCACAGATGCAGCCGCCCAGCTGGCCCGAGAGGACCTCCTCTTGCAACCTATCCCAGGGCGCATCTCCCTCAAAATTAGCGGTTTAAAGCACATTCCAGCTGCCTTTATGCCCACCCCCAGAAATGGAGGGCTCAGGCGGAGCCATGACCTTTAAAAACACCTCCCAGCCAAGAGTAAGAAATTCGGGGGGGGGGGCTTAGGTACAAAGACTAAGGTATAAATAAGCTAGGAAGGGGTATATTAGAGTACTGGGATGCTGAATCTCCATGACCCCATCACCACCCCCCAGGTCTTAGACTGCGGGCGCTGGCAAAGTGTTTTCAGTTGCCAAGGCCGGTAGGGCCCAGCCCTGGTACTCCAGCATTCCTTCCCCATTAGTGACGAATCCCCCTTACTCCTGGTTTTAGTTCATTAAATAAATACCCTCCTCCTCAGCACCTTGGTGTCTGCCTTGTTGAGTATTTTTAAAATCAATTTGCCCCTCTCTTTGGCTTCTAATGAACTTGGTGCTTAAGAGCCCAGCAATTTAAACTATAACCTCACTTGCTCCTTCCCTCGAACACTAGGCCATTTGTTGTTCTGGTAGTTGGGGGGAGGGGGAGAACCTGGGGTGAGTTTTTAAGAAGCAAATCCTCCATCAAACCGGCCGACCTCAAAATTACCAGGCAAAATATTGCTGCAAAACGTCAGTGATGTCAAACGACTGTTGCTATACGATTATTAGAGCGCATCAATAAAAAATACACACTTACACAGTCTCCATAATTGTGAATCAGCAGAACAGTGGCTTATTAGCTATCAGCTGCCATTCAAGAACCCCCAAAAGGACTTGGTGGGGCTCCCTTGAGTCTGCCCTTCGTAGCTCCCAGGCTCCTGAGCTCGTGCAGACTGAGGCTGAGGTATTACATGCAATCGAAAAACGGAGAGTTGCAATAGAAAACCCAAGCCCGCTCATGATGCAACCCTGGCCGGGTTACACGTGTTTCCCTTCCCCCACCGCCTGCTGGTGGGAGCGCAGCGTTTTTTCCGCCTGTAGGGTCACATTGTGGTTGATTGATTCTCCTTTCGCCTTGCTCAGTCATTCAGATTTGGAAAGTAAATAACAAGTTGACATCATTACAGCTCCAGGCTTTACGGGGACTGCAGCCCTCAGCTACCACACACTCTTGAGTAGCTCCGCAGTCAAACCCTTCTTACCTGGCCAGGCTTGTCCAAATTAGTCGCTTGGAAATTCCCAACTCAAGTTAGTTAAAAAAGCCTCCTTTAGTATTTCTATTACTTGGCAAGTGATGATCATTACCAAAATTCTTCTTTCTGAAGTGCTACATGAATGGAAAATTACACGTTTCTATTTAATCTGTTTCAGCTATTTTTTATTTGTGCGGTCCCACTGGGTGGAAGAAAGCAAAGAAAGAGAAAGTAGGTAGTGCACTTTGAGGGGGAAAGGAATAAGATGCAAAAGCCCACTGCACTCTGTGTGTGTGTGTGTGTGTGTGTGTGTGTGTGTTCCAAAAAAACATTTTTACTCAGGAATCTGCTTGTGAAAAACGCTATTAGCAGCCCCCCTGCCCCACATAGTACCCCAAATTTTAAGTAAAAGACAATGGGAACCCAAAATAAATATACTCAGGTGATCTTTGACAAAAGATCAGAAGTAACTTATCCTTTATAATGAGTGGTGCAGGAACAACTGTGCACTCATATACCAAAGACAGGAAGGAGGGCTTGAAAGCTGGCTCAACAGTGAAGAGCAAGTACTGCTCTTGCAGAGGTTTAGTACCCACTGCCACGTTGAGCAGTTCGACAGCCGCCTGTTAACTCCAGCTTCAGGGGATGTGATGCCCTCTTCTGGCCTCCACAGGCACCTGCACTCACATTCACATATCCACACACAGACATGTACACATACACATAAGTAAAAATAAAAATAAATCTTTTAAGGGGGCTAGAGACAGAGCTCAGTGGTTAAAAGCACTGGCTGCTCTTACAGAGGCCTCTGATTTGGATTCCCAGGACCAACATGGTTGCTAACAACCTTCCCTAGCTCCAGTTCCAAGCGACCCAACCCTCTTCTGGCCTCCATGGGCATTGTACTGCCCTAAAGATTTTTTTGGTCTTTTTGAGACAGAGTCTCCCTGTAGCCCCAGCTGTCCTGGAACTCACTATGTAGACCAGGCTGGCCTTGAACTCACAGAGATCTGCCTGCCTCTGTCTACCAAGTGCTGGGACTACAGATGTGGACCACCACACCTAGCTAAGCTTTATTTTTTTAATTATGTGCCTGCATGTATGTATGCCTCATATGTGCAGGTGCCCATGAATGTCAGAAGAGGGGCTCATATCCCCTGGAGCTGGTGTTACAGGCAGTTGTGAGCTACCCATTGTGAGTGCTGGGAACTGAATTTCTGTAAGTGCAGTACTTGCTCTTAACTGCTGAGCCATGTCTCCAACACCCAAAGAAGTCTTAAATTTCACAATAAGAAAATAACCAAAAATAAAAATAGGGACCAGGAGATAATTCAGCCGGTAAAGTCCCTTACCACCAAGTCTAACATTCTGAAATGCACATGGTGGAAGGCGAGAACTGGCTCCCACAAGTTGTCCTTTCCTCTCTATATGTACACCATGACATACCTGCACATACACACACAGACACACACGCACACACACACAAATAATAAATAAATAAATAAATAAATAAATAAATAAATAGGGCTGGGGAGATGGCTCTC